CACGTATCGAAACGATATTTGCATGTCTGATTCGTCGCCAACTTTCTATTGTCGACATAGCTATTTCATTCGTCAAACGAAAGCCTGTCGTTGCCACCGGTGAGTCCAACTTTACATATATGTATTGTAGTAAAATATAGAATGCACAAACAAAGTACCTTCGATCCTCCTCAGACAGTAAACACGGCCATCAACATTACAAATTGATTTGTATGTAAAACTTGGGTATCCAAAAATTTTTACCGATTTGCCTTGTCGCAAATCAAGTGGGTACAGTGAATGATAAACATGAAGCTCTTCGGGTAAATTAAAATCTTTAGCTATAATAAACAAGAAGTAAGAACACAATAACTTCATTATAGGTGAATCATTAGCGTTGAAACTATTATTACCATTTACGGAACTCAGTGTTGCTTCGTTTTTTTGCTGCAATTCTTCACGGAGATGATCAGACATAAAGAACGCGTGAATAGTCTTTTGATGTGGATGCAAATTTGAAACATGCGGAAGTGGTGATGTATAAAGGTGATACTGAAGCTGCACGAAAACATAATTTTAGTCAATCACTAGAGCTGTGTTGGAATGACTATGCTTATTATAATTAGTATGTAAAGGTTCGGGTAATCCTAGTTTCATCTAATAGAGTCGTCAACTCTACTAGAAACAAAAAAAAGACCGAAAAATGAAACTGTTAACATTCTTAAGTTAAAACAGAAAAATGTACCGGTTGAGGAATTAATGTTTGCTGTGAATGATATAAAAATGGATCCACATATTGTGAACTTGTGAAATAACTTGTATTGTTCATATGTTGAGTTGTTACATCCGGCAATGTGTCAAGAGCAGAAAATTGCGTTGCCTAAATGTAGCATGCCATGGTAAAAAGGTTGTTTTAAAATAAAACAAAAAAGAAGATTACTAAAAACTTAAAGATAAAAATGTAATTGACATTGTTGTTTAATACCAATGAAGCAAAAGAATTAGCAAGAGCATTCAAGCCGTGGCCTTTGACACCACCAGAGGACAATAATAATGGTTTAGATGATGTTAATGACTGTGATGAGTAGAAACCAATAGTAGGGTCAAATATCGACATACTAAAGATAGCGAGCCGAAATAAGAATAAATTAAAAACAATCTGCACATTATTTAGTAAGTATAGAGAATAAAAATGGCAACGTGCGGTACTCTGCATCATATTCATGTTCGCCAGAATCATAAAAAAGTTGTTGCTGTGGTGAACCTTAACAAATGAAATAATTCAAGCAAATCAGATATTAATTTATAAGTTCGCTTGAAAGATAAGGACAGTAACAAAGTTATTAC